ATTTTTTTGGTGAAAATGTTTTCTCTGATAACATTGACAATCTTCTTTTTGCCCTACCCTGGAAATAATGAGAAAAAACCAGGCTTTGTCGGGTTTCTTGTGAGTCAAAGATAAACTCTGTCTCACCCAGATGCCCTGTGAGGACCCTCCCAGGCCCCTGACCAGTAATAATAATAATAATAATAATAATAATAATAATAATAATAGGGACAATGACAACAGAATTGAAGCCTGCATATAGTAGTTATTTCCCATCACAGTATTTGGAATACGCAGTGTCTCATATACCCCAGGTTGACCCCCAACTCACTATGTGGTAGAGGATGGTCTTGAACTTATGATCCTCCTGCCATTACCTCCCGGGTGGTGTGATTTACCAGCATGCAGGCTTTTGCCACCACACCCAGTTTATTCCGCGCTGAGGCTCAAACCCAGGGCTGTGTGTGCTAGGTCAGCATTCCACCACCTAGGCTACACCTCCAACCCCCACTTAGCTCTTTTTGGCCAGAATTTTTTAAAGGAAGCTAGATAGCAGGATAAACAAATGTCATGCGTGGAAGAAGCCTGAGCACTGCTTTACGGAACATCTGTTTGTAGTATCTGAATGTGAGAGAGAAATAGATGATGTAATGTCCCTCCCCGTGGGATGCATGCAGTGTAAACTAAAATGCCACGGTTTCACTTACTCACTTCATCTGTGCAGAAGCTCTCAGACAGTAAGAAAAGAAAATGCCCCATAATGCTGAGCAGAGGACCTGGGATTGGTTCCTAGCATCCATGTGGTAGCTCACAACTCCGGTCCCTGGGAATCCAATGCTCTCTTCTGGCTCCTAGGATACCAGACACATATATACATGCAGATACACATGCAAGCAAAATACACATAAAATAAGAAACAAATACATATGTCTTAGCAATGGAGATAAATTAATTAAATTGAAGAAAGGATATAGAGTAACAATTTGACCTTTGGAGTAGATTTGAGTGGTCTTGTTCTTGTTGTTGTTTTGTTTTTTTACTATTTATTTACTTACATATATAGTGTTCTGCCTGCGTGTATGCCTGCAGGCCAGATGAGGGTGCCAGATCTCATTACAGATGGTTGTGAGACACCATGTGGATGCTGGGAATTGAACTCGGGACCTCTGGAAGAGCCACCAATGTTCGTAACCTCCGAGTCATCTCTCCAGCCTCCATGGTATCCTCTTAACAGTGCCTCTCATTATTTCTCACACTTGGTCCAGCAGAGGATTCTGCAGCCCTAGGGAGGGAGGTGCTGCTCTTGGTTCAGGAAGTCTGGGTGGGGCCCAAGATTCTGCAATTCTACTGAATTTCCAGGTGATGCCAATGTTGCAGTCCAAGAAGCACATTAGAACAACTCTCTCTATGCCAATAGCTACACTCATTTCTTCCAGACTTCTCTATGCCCCAGGAGACTATGGGAGATGGGGAGGGGGGGATGGTGGCAGGGGAGACAAAGTGGAATTGCTCCCTCTTCCGTTAATAAATGTCATTTTATGCACAAATATGAACCACAGATAATATTTAAACAGACATGTTTGAGGCCTGTCATCAGACAAAAAGCATAGGAGTTTGGAATTTCTTTTCTTTTCAAGAGTTAGGTTATTTATCTATCTATCTAGATACTTATTTATTTTAATTCGAATCAGTGTTTTGCATGAATGTATGTTTATGTGAGGGTGTCAGATCTTGGAGTTACAGACAGTTGTGAGCTGCCATGTGGGTGCTGGGAATTGAACCTAGGTCCTCAGGAAGAGAAGTCAGTGCCTTAACCGTTGCACTATCTCTTCAGCCCAGGAGTCTGGAATTTTAGTAGCTGGAGATTGATGAGTGTGTTTATCTATTCAAAAGGTAGGGGTCATCCATTGCAAAGGTGCTGATCCTATCACGGGGATAATGAAATGCACTTCTCAGTTTGCGCAATCAGTATTAATGAGCATGAGTGAGAAAGATGTCTTCTCAGACATGTGCTTGCTTAGAGAGTAATAGCTTAAAGATAAGAGCTGAAAGGCAGATGTTTTATTCAGTTGCCTGGTGTGCTTATTTAATCTAAATAGACCCATAAACATCACACACACAGATTAGCTTGACAAAGTAAAATAAATTGAATTCCCTCCTGGCTTTCCGTGCTCCCCAGGCAAGTGTTAATATGAATTCTTTTTCTTTTAATCGAGGTTATTTAAGAGTATGTATCAAGAGCAAAATAAGAAAGCTTCTTTTGGCTAGGGAAGCACTATAACAGCACTTTAATGTGTTTAAACACAGGGTAGCAGGAAGTGGTACCTCTGTGGTAGCGTTTCTGTGGAATGCCTTCAAGTTTGGAGACAGAACCAAAAAGACAAGAGAAGAAAGGGGCAGTGGTAGAGAGCTACAAGGGTTAAAAGATTCACACTGTTTGCAGGAAGGGATGAGACAGCATTGCATTTTAGTTGGGAGACTTGATACAATTCTAGATTTAGACTGGAACATAATTATCGTGTGTCAGCAGGTCGACAGAACAGGACTGTTTTCTTCTGAAATATACATTATTTTTTTAATGAGATGCATTAGTTTATTGGTTTTGGTTTTTCAAGATAGGGTTTCCCTGTGTAGCCTTGGCTGTCATGGAACTCGATCTGTAGACCAAGACTCACAGAGATCCACCTGCGTCTGTCTCCTGAGTGCTGGGATTAAAGGTGGTCATGACTGCCACCGCCCGGCTGAGATGGGTTGGTTAGTTTTAAATGTATAATCGTATTAAATCTCTTTCAACGTTTGGGTCTTAGATTTCACCCCCTACCCTTATTGGAAAATGTCATCTTTTTCCATAGTCAGTTTTCCATTTGAGACTATTATAATAAATTACATTCTAACTGTCCTGGAAGGGAAAAAGATAATCTAGAGATACACTAGCCCCTCCCTTCAGCCATCACGTTTTAAGGCAGTGAATTCCAGAGAGTTAAAATTCCCCAGGAAATTCTTGATGGGAGAAGGGGAAAGCTGAGGGTCTGGTACCACGGAGGGGGACCTCCCCTCCCAGGAAGGGATTTCCCACAGTTCTGACCACCTTACAAAGCAGGGCAGAGAGTCAATGGTAGATGAGACCGCACCATAACCAAGGCTGCTGAATTATGCACATTCCCTGAACCTAACCCTCACAGCAGGACACTAAAGAGTGGCTTACCTGTTGCTTACCTGTTGGGTCAGGACCCCATGATTCGTTTTTCCCATTGTGACCACACTGAGTAAACTTTCTCTGCTCTCCACTGCTGCTTATGTCCAATTATTAGCTGGCATGCTAGGACAGACAGTAGACAGTCCTGGCTTATGGGAGCACCAGAGCCCAAGCCCTTACCCTAAAAAGTCCAGTAAGATTACCCCAAATCTAGAGTTTAAACAACACAGAGATCGTCTTGCTGTTCTGAGATTGGAAGTAACACTGAACCCAGACACTGGCTGGACCGTGTTCCCATCTTCTTCTGAGCACCTCCATCTCCTTGCCTTTGCCCCTGAATTCCTCTCTGGGCTCCTTCCCTACCTTCAGACTACCAGGGCTGACCACCCCTCCTGCCTTTCTCTCCCTCTGTTGCCATAAACTGGATCCTGGGAAGGCCTGAACCCTCATCACAGGATGACGAAGACTTAAAGGCTGGCTGTTCTGTTTGCCTTCCTGATGCACCTGCCTCGTGAATTTTACTTACCTCTGCACTTGAGGGTGTTTGTCTAAACTAAAACTATCTCATCTCACTGAGGCCGAAAGGCATAAAGATAAGAAGAACAGGCCCTCCCTGTCAGCTTTTACATCGTCCTGCTCTGAGCCCCACTCCAACGAGGTGGCAGGAAGTCTCTAGTGATTGTCCTGAACCCGCACTTGTGCTGAGTCCTAGGAGCAACAGAACCTCCTAGATCTGCCTATCCCCTGGTGAGATCACACCCCAGCAGGGGCAGCCACCTCCTGGAACTGCCTCGGCCCACCAAGCAATCTGAACATTTTCCAACCACCTTGCCCAACCAAAGGGGAGAGAATAATTGGCCGGATCAGGCTTTGATAAGACTAGCTTACTCTGCCTGCCTCTTGACTCCATTCTTTAAACAGTTCTCCCTCTGTTTAAACTTAAAGTTCTCGCCAGTACCCCAAAGATGAAGATGGGGTCATTGGCCCCCTCTCTGTACTCCCCAGTGTGCAATGCAGTCTTTGTTCTCTGCCTTGGACGGTGATCTTATCTTTGATTGGTACACTGGAGTGAAAGGCTGAGTATAGTGTATCGTGCCTCCCAGTGCTAGGGCCTTTGCCCTAAAACTGGTAATGTTACTGTGATGAAATTGCACTCATCCAAATAATTCAGGATAACCCCAGCTGAAGCCCAGCTGAAGAGCAATCACCACTCCTCTTTGCCACATAATAGCCACATGTTCCAGTATTGAGAGAGAGAGACTGAGACTGAGACTGTGTGTGTGTGTTTGTGTGTGTGTGTGTGTGTGTGTGTGTGTGTAAAACGACCATTAGCCTCTCTTCCAAAGTATGTTTTATCATCTTAGACTTTCCTATGAGAGGACTATTACATTTTGAGTACAGATACTTGCATAGCATCATTACCTCTAAGTAACATTCTGTATAAATTAAATTATATTGTATTCATTGTGGTTAAAAAATGCTAAAGTTCTCACAAAGCAGAGTATACCTCTTTCATGTTTGTACTGATTCTTATACACACTCTCAAATGCCTTGGAGGTATAGGTTCTAAAACCCTCCACCATTTCCAGTCATGAGTTTTGTATTATTTGAGGGTGTAACTGCCCTGTGTGGCTAAGTGGGCTCTTTCATGACTTATCCAGAATTTATTGAGACTACTGAGATGATTTGCCACTGTGTTGCTCAAAGGAGACAATGGTGCTTCCCCATAGGACATGAGGCAATGTTTGCCGACAGTTTTGGTTGTCACTTTTGGGAAGAGAGTGCTGAGCTCCTGGTTCTTATTGCTATTTTATTATCATTGCAGGAGTCCCCGGCGCCATGCCAAACGCATCCTGGACGGGCAACCTCAGAGCCGTAAAGTGGATGGATATGGAAGATAAGCATGGAGGCTGCCATGGTAAGGTCTCCTGCTCTGAGGCCATTGTTAAGAGAAGCTTTTTCTTGAGAGGAGCCTTCCCGCCAGCCTGGTTCTAGAGCTGCTTCAGTCCCAAATAAACCCACAGGAGGTTATATTAATTATGAAGCTGTTGGCCTTGCTTGTTTCTTACTGGCTAGCTCTGACTTAAGTAATTACCCCATAATTGTTACTCTAAGTATGTCTCTTACCGGAGAGGTTTCCGGGCTTCCTACCCCAATAGCGTTACATCTCGACTCTCTGTTTCTCCTTCCCAGAATCCTCCTGGACTCCTAGCCCCACCTATCTAGATTCCTATAGGCTCAACAGTACTTTATTGACAAATAACAGGCAAATAACAGGACTTCCCCAACAGGCCATACTGCCTGTTGCTGTTGGCACAAGGGTAATTGTAAACTTAATAGAGGGGGTTCTTGTGCAGTAGTACACCGACTGATCTGTGGTTGTTAGAGAGGCCTGATGCCTCATCATGTTGTCTCCTGAAGATAAGTTTCTGTTTCTCAGACATTCTGTTTTGTTGTGGTGGTGGTTTTTTTGTTATTGTTGTTGTTTTTTTGGTTTTTTGTTTGTTTGTTTGTTTGTTTGTTTGTTTTTGAGACAGGGTTTCTCTGTGTAGCAGCTCTGGCTGTCCTGTGCCGGGTCCTCCTGCAGGTAGAGTGGGAGAAGGGCTGGTCCAGCCCGTCTCTTCCCGGGGCTGTTGAGTGTCTATGACTCAGACCCTCCCCACTACTAGTTACCGGGGGGGGGGGGCGAAATAGGCTGAGGTAGGGGATGGGAATCTTGGGATAGGGTAAGATGACATGAGGAGTAAGGGTCAATAATATTCCACCAAGCAGGCAGGTAGCTAGGCAGGGGGCAACCTTACATCAGGCCTTGCTGAGTCACCCCCACATGGAGGTGACAGGTCAGAGACAGGTCACCAAACTCTAGTCAGGCTCAGGAGGTTACACTGGGCCGCACACCTGAGCCTTTTTTAGGCCCAACAGTCCTTGGAGAGCTTCAGATGTTTGTGATCACTCTGGCACATGCAGGTGACATCAAAGGATTCTTCCCTAAATAGACAAAAACTAGAGACCCTAAGTCATTGCTTTTTGTGGCACAGTAGGGGATGGAATGAGACAGGGTTTCGTGTAGCCCAGAGTAACCTAGAACTTGCTATGCAGCCAAAGAAGCTCTTGAAATTTGGATTCCCCTGCTTCTATCTCCTAAGTGCTGGATTGCAGAAATGTTCCCCACTCTCTGCTAGTCATTGTCATTTCCATAGACCCTTATGAAGAAGGGTTCCATCAGGCTTGGGTATCATCCACTCCAACACCATAGCACATAGTGAGCAGTTTATCTACCTGATTTTGCTGCTGGACCAAAGCACCACAGGTTGGACAACTTACATTTCAGAAATTTCCTCCCTTTTCTGAAGACTAGAAATGTAAGGTCACACCTCATGGAGACGGCTCCTTTCTTGTCCTTTCTCCTGGGGCTTTTAAATGACTTCTCCCTGTGTCCTCTTGTGTCTTTTCACTGTATCCTAATTTCCTCTCACAAAATTCCACTCAGAGCTGGGCATAGTGGCACATGCCTTTAATCCCAGCACTTGGGAGGCAGAGGCAAATAGAGTCTGTGAGTTCGAGACCAGCCAGGTCCACATAGTGAATTTTAGGATAGTCAGAGAAACATAGTGAGACTCTGTCTCCAAAAAATAAAACAAAACAAAAACCCAGTCAGGTTCCCAGGGTCTGTATACATCCTCCTCACCACAGCCTCAAGCCAGCCACACTATCTCTCCCTAGCACTCGTACAGTCCCCTGTGAACTGCCTCATCCACACTAGTCGCCCAGGTGGCATCCTTAGCCTGAGCTATAGCCTTTCGCTATCAGAGAAGGGACTGTCCATCCCACCAGTGCAGACCTGGAGCCTCTTCTCTCTGCCTTTACCCATGCCCCATCCCTTCTTGGTCAAGAAGGTGTAGACTGGTCAGCCTTGTGTTTTGCAGGTGCCCTTATTGATCATGAGCTAGGAACCAAGCTAACAGTACAGAACCTGAGTGGCCCAAGGCCACCTTGGACTCATATTTCATCTTTCTCCTTTGAATACCCACCGTGAGGATGAACCCCTGAAAGCTGCGTGCAGCTAAGGGTGTAAACACTGTCCTCCCAACCGGTATGCAGAGGAAGAGAGAGGCAGAGTCCACAGGGGCGGGGCACTGCGGTCCATCACTGCAGCGACTCAGTCACACGACATAGAAGAGGCTCTGGAAGGACACCCACGTGTTCACACTCTCTTTAGACTCTTGAAACAAAGCACGCCAAGGCACAAGGATTTCCCAGGAACCTCCTGCTGGGAGAAGGAAAGGTCTGAAGCCTGGTGCCAGTCACTGGGAGAGTTTGTCTCCCTGGTAGACGCTTCACACAGGCCTGACAGCTTGCCTGACCATCTTGCTGGAGAGGCAAAGGTGGGTCAGTGCCTGGTGGGACCACACCGTAACTGGGACCGTTTCCCACCACCAGCCCTCCATTAAGCCCCAAAGATGGACGTGGAGCAAGTCACTGGGTGTCGTCGTCCCTCTTCTCAATGGGGCCACATTTAATACATTTCCTTTTTCTGCTTCTCCCCATTAGTTGTTTGGCACACTAAAGATAGGTGGTTGAACCTGACTTACTGGGCCTGGGACACTGGCTCTCACCCTTAATGACTCTCATAGCACGCCACGGAGCTCTGGGGACCATTCCAATTTTCCACCCGTATTCCAACAGAAATTTCCCAGAGACATTGACTTCAGTTTTTCCAAAACCACTGCCAGTCACACTGTGTTTCCCGGATGAACCCATCCACTCATCTCCCTCTTGGCCTTCTCCATCCCATCACTCCACAGCTACTAATGCAAGTGAAATATTTACCAACCATTGTTCTGGAGGCAGAGAATTCAGAAAGGGGCAAAATGGCCTAAAATCCCCACTTTTCCCCAGCCCAAGAGTAGCAAGGAAGGCCTTGCCTAGAAAGGACAAGAAATAGTATCTCTCTTCCTTTCATATATATATAAAACCCTGCAAACAGATGAATGTCACGTATATCATAAAATATTTATGTGTGTCATTTACAGCCTTATACATTTTAAGATATATTTATGAAACATAAAATGAATGTATATATAAAATCATAAATTTGTATAGTTTGTGTATATTTATATGTATATTACCTACATGATATACACACGCACACATATCAAAACACAAATGGATGAGGAAAATGCGTTGGGGAGGGCCTTACTGAGAAACTGATCTCGAGGTGGTGACAAGAGCTGGGCTTTATGTTATCTGCGAGAGAACAGGGTTATAGGGGTATGGGCGAGCCCCTGGGAGAGTCAGAGAAAGTGGGCCTACTGTGCTTGCAACTGGCAGGTGTGTCTGAAGTGATTGAAAAAGAGCAAAGAGTGACCAGGGTCAGGAGTCTCAAATGCCAGTGGTGAGAGTTCTGAGCAGAGAACATCTATTCCACCTGTGTGTTAACAGGATCTCTCTGGTTGCCACACTGTGTGTGTTTAAGAGGGCACGGAGTCACCGGAGGAGCCGCCCTTTAGAGTAGTCCAGACAGGAAGCTGGAAGCTGCAGAGGATGGTGGGGACACTTTACAGAGGAGCAGTTGAGAAGGGATGGGATTGAGAACTTCAATGCTATCCTGGCACAAGAGTGACACATGCCATCCCGGCACTCAGGAGACAAAGCAGTAGAATTGCCTATTGAAGAGCAGCCTGGGCTGCATACAGAAACTGTCTCAGAGTCCGCTGCTGACATGCTGCATCAGTGAGGCTTACTGAGGTGGAGGTGACACTCCATAGTCACCATCAGAGCTCAGAGAAGAGACAACACAAGGCGAAAGGTCTTCTTTCATCCCTGTGCTTCTAGAATTTACCTGTCGCATGAACTGCTTCAGGACACGGTTTCCATTGTGCTCAATGCTCATCTTATTCAAGTGCATTTTTGTGCCATTTGTCCTAAGCGGTTTGAGCTCCTGGTGGGCTAGGGCAGCCCAGCCATGTTTCACTGCATCTCATCATACTTGATCAGGATTCCGCTACCTCAAGTTCACCATTTGTGACTTCTAAAGACAGGGATGTCTGACTGTTTTTCTGCCTCCTTCTCCCCACAGGTCACTATGTACATGACATTTGCATCTATGGAAACGGAGACTTAAAATGGCTAATAAATTCAGAAAGCCTATTTGCTAACAAATTTGAGCTCAACACGTACCCTCTCACCGTGGAATGCCTGGAACTGCGGCTTCGAGAGAGAACCTTAAACCAGAGTGAAACCGCCATACATCCCAGCTGGTATTTTTGATATGCAGCAGCTCTGGCCTAAAGGGAAACCCAAGGCATAAAGAGGAGCCTTTCTCTCCAAGAGACTCTTGCCCTGGCTGTGCTGAAGGCATCAAAACCTGCTTTCAGGAAAACGTCAGGACCTGGCTTCACGACTATGCTTAAAATATCCACTGGACACTGTGATCCATTGACAGGATGGCTCTGTGCAGCTGTCCCGCCATTTTTAGCTAGTCTAGCCATTTCTTTTGAATGTTTTTTCCTTCCTCTTCCTCCTCTTCTTTATTTTGTTTTCGTTTTTTGTTGTTATTTTTGTTTGCTTGTTTGTTTTGGTCTTTCAAGACAGGGTTTCTCTGTGTAGCCTTGGCTGTCCTGGAACTCACTCTGTAGACCAGGCTGGACTTGAACTCATAGAGATTCACTTGCCTCTGCAGGGATTAAAGGCGTGCACTACCACAACCCAACATTTTTCTTCTTTTTTTTAAAGACAGGCTCTTGCTATATATCTCTGGCTACCCTGGTTCTTGCCAGGTAGCCCAGGATGGCCTTGAACTCTCATCAGCTCTCTCGCCTCCCTCCACCCAAGTGCTGCTATTATAAGTGTACAACCACACCTGGCTCTGACGTCTGCAAGTCACCTGATGCTCATCGGCATCTTAATCTACTGCCATGGTCAATGATAAATTTAAGTGCATCAGTTCTCTGTGCCAGATACTTATATTAGTATATGCCCTTAGAAAGGAGACTGGTGGGTAACACTGTCTGAAAAAAATCAAAGCCTGTTTTATTTGAGGAGGAGGCTTTTATACCATCTTTATAGCAATTATGTACTCAGAAAGGCATAGAGACAGCTTTCTAGTAACTTACCAATTCCATTTAATCAAGAACTGATTGGAGGTGGTGGTGCACACCTTTAATCCCAGCACTCTGGACACAGAGGCAGGCAGATCTCTGAGTTCTGGTCTATAGAGCGAATTCCAGGATAGCCAGAGCTACACAGAGAATCCCTGCCTTGAAGAGCAAAACCCAACCAAACAAAAGGAACCGGTCTTGAAGAGCTGAGGAACTGGATAGTTCAGTGTCTTAGCATTTGACTGACATGTGCAGACCCGGACTCCGTCTCCAGCATCACAGACAGACTGTGAACACTGCAGTTCTCAATTACTGGTGTCTGAAGTTGTGCATGCAGTGTAAAGCCATTAACATGACAGAACATGTGCTTAAGACAGGAGCCACTGTGTGGCTGCAGGAAGAGGACCTCAGGGATGCTGGGCATTTCCGTGTTCTGTTCCAGAATGTTCTCTTTTCCGCAGAGAACACTGAAACATTCTCACAGGAATGAAGGAATTCTTTCTTTCCCACAGGAAAGGTGCTATTGCGTGGGTCTGGAACCTGTGGATAACTTATGTCTGGGGTTCCCTTTCTTTATATGAGATGGGGACTGGGTTCTGTTATACACAGCTTGAACCACACCAGGACAGCCTCCAGGTAGCTTGCAAAGATTGGTGCTGACAGGAATTTCTGGATACTTAAGAGCTTTTGATTGTAGGTGGACTTAATGTGTCATTTTTCGGTCATTCATTCATCCATTGGTTCAGCCTGCATTCACTAAACGCCTCTTGAACATCTGTGATCCTCAGGACACGTGTTGACACTGGAGGGAAACAAGACATATTTTCTCTCCTGTAAAACTGACAAGTGGTATCAGCTTTTGAGCCCTGCTCTAAGTCTTACAAAATGCCTACATTGCACACATGCCCCGACCTGGATCCGTATTATAGCAGGCCATAGGGATTGGTAATTAGTCAATTATTCCAGAGACACAGAGGAAGGAGAAAACAAAAGCTAAAGCCTGTTGGCCCCTACCAGCTCCTTCTTGTCTCATTTTTTTCAAAACTCACACACCTCTGTCTCAAGGGTGACATGAGTACCTATGTCTTGCAGATGATGTAACAAGCCTTGGGATGACTAATGATCATTAGGAAGCAAATTCTAAGGATTTAGGCTGTCTTTCTGATCCTCTCAGCTCATTTCCCTAGGGTTGTTGAGAGAAGGTAAATTAAAGCCATACTTAATATATCCAAAGAAGTCAGAGTTTAAGAACGGACGCTGTGTTAACTTTGAGAAAAAATTCTGTCATTCAGAAGGATGTGTGGTAAGGACTGAGCAGGTGGGGGAATTTGCTGCCAAGCATAACAACTTGAGTTCAATTCCTGGGACCCACCCAAGGGAGGGAGAGAGTTCACTCCCACAAGTTACTCTCTTACCTCAACATGTGTTGTTGCACATAGTCACTCCCCAACATACAAATGAGTAAATGTAACTTTAGGGATGTGATCATCTTTTTAGCTATCTTGCATTCATAAATATTTATTTGTCCTAATGAAAAAGAAAATACTTGCGTTAAATGATATCACTTGCCATCATTTCATTCTTGTGCTGTAATTGTGCCTGCTGAATGTTAACCATTTTTAAAGGGAATCATTTTCATGGAAAACTTCGTTAACTTCTACTGAGAAATAAAATGGGCCTGTGTCGGGTACTAAAGGGTAGAGAGGCAGGGATGCTCTTGATTGAGGTGAGGTCTATAACAGGTCTCTTTTTTATTTGTTACTTAGATGAGAACACCTGAAAAGAAATGTTTTACACTGGATCTCTGAAATGAGAAGTTTTTCCTGGAATAGAAGTTTACATGCCCATTGCTGATCACCTCTTTATCATAAATATTTTAATATTGAAAGGGAGTAGCATTTGAGCTAGTGAGCTAGCTATGAAGGTACTCTCCTGTCTCTCCTGTATAGTATCCATTTTGGTTTTCATGTTTTCTGTTTTTGTTTTCTTGGGAATAAATTAATATATTGTTTTCCACCTTCAAGGATAGTGTGTGTATTTATTTGATACCTAGTTAATATGTTCAATGGTACAGTTCCCCCAGCTTTAAAAAGAACAAAAAAAAACCCCACATTTATGTATGTGTAGTTGTCTAAAATAATCTATTCACTAAAAAAAATTGACATTTCCCTTTGTGGGGTGAGGGGAGAGCAATTGAGTATAACAGGATGAAACAGAAATTTGGTTTTATTTATACATTTGTGTGTGTGTTGTATGCTTGGAAACTGTCTTTCACAGAACTTTGAGCTTGCCATCTTGGCTGGACTGGATGACTAATGAACCCCTAGGGTCCAGCCATCTCCACTCCTCCCTAGGATTGGAGTTATAGGCATGCCCCCTTCCCTTCTCCAGCTTATACACAGATACTGGGGATCCAAACTCAGGTGTTCATGTTTACCAAGCAAACATTTTACCAGGCATAAGTCATCTTAAAATTGCCTTCTGTGTCCATCAGGCTTTCGGTCAGTCACTATGATCAGATGCTCAAGGAAAGCAGTTTAAATGCAGACGGATTTGGAAGTGTCAGTCTAGCATGGGGGAGGGGGGGAAGCATGGCAGAGCATCTGGGAAACAGAAAAGGGATTCAGGAGGGAGCCGGAACAAGGTAGAGGTCCCAAAGACACACTCCCAGCAATCTGCTTTCTCCAAGGAGTCCTTGCCTCTTACACAAAAAGTTGTGCATCTATTCTGGCTACCTGCAAAGACAACTAACTGCACCCTGCCTGGTAGGTACTGAGATAATTACTGGAGATCAACAGACAAACTCGTGTGTCACAGAGCTGATCACACGTAGTTAGCGAGTTTTCAGGAGCAGTCTGCATCAGGTTGTCAACAATAGGATGTGAATGGTATTTGTCACATGTCGCAAGAAACGAGTCAAACGTGATCTCTCCTGGTCACCATTAATTTTTATTTTTAAAAAGGCAGATTCTTTCTATTCTAGATGGAGAGAGAAAAGAGAAATTCTGAAATATGCCAATGAAGTATTAACAGAGAGTGCTACAAAGCCACCAGAACAGTGTGGTAGCATGGGAGTGTGGGAGAAGGGCTTCATTAGACCAGGCCGTCAGGGAGACCTGCCTGATGGATGCTCTGCACTGCGACCGTGTCTTCTGCAGGCGAACACAAAGACTAGCTGGACACTGCGGTTTCCTTTCATCATTTCCCCCTAGTCCTGGGAAAATTCCAGTCAGTCACAGACTCCCTGGGACATGGCTGGTTCCAGAGCTGAGGCAGGGAAGACCTGAGATGAGCCTGGAACAAGCTATTGCAACAAGAGTCCTAAAAGGGTGACAAACGTGTCACAGGTTCAAGAGTTGCCGTGAACTCTCCTACTGCATCAAAATTGTGACAATAATATATTGTGACCCAGTAACTTAAATAAGAAACCAAGCGTGAATAATACATGCATAGCACACAAGGGCAAATACATATGAATGCGTGTACAAAATACACACATTAATAAAATGTGAAAGAGGCTGTTGAAGTGAGTTCCTGCTCTTGGTTCCAACAATCAGCTAACAAATGAGTCACGGTTCCTTCTTTCACCCAGGGCTGAGCAAACTGATTCTGTGATGGGCTAGACAGTAACTGTTTTGGGCTTTGTAAGTCACATGGTTTCTATTGCAATTATTCACTCCTGCGGTTAGACCCATAGATGATGTATAAACATGGGCTGTGTGCTGATAAAGCTGCCCCCCTGCAGTGTCTGGAAACTGTGATCTCCTGCTCTACACATCCTTTTCTAATATGTGCCAAGCCCAAAGGGCGTGAAAGAGCATCCTCTTAGGAGTGAATTATGTCTTGGTGGGAATGCTTGAGTGCCCAGCCCATCCTCAACCCCCAACCAGGAGGAGACAGCCGGAGACAAACACACAGAAGGAAGACTGGCTTCTATACTTTGGTTGCATCTCTGTCTAAGGCATGAATAAACCGGTGTGTGCTTTATCTGAACGAGCAAGGACAGCTGGGTAAAGCTGGCAGGGTAAGAGTCTGCTTGAGCTGCTCTTGGGAAATCTCCAGTAGGAAAAGGTGGGAGACTTAGAACAACACATCTGGGGACCAAGACTGCAGGATATGGGAAGCGTTAGTATTTATAGCTCTTGAGCTGTTAGGAAACTAAGTATGTGCTGCAACAGCTCGCCAGTCCTAGGGCTATTTACTGAGCACTTTGGCTATACATGCGGGGTCAATGAATTATACACATCAGCCAGGCATGGAGGGGCACGCTCAAATCCCAGAACACAGGCAGTAAGAAGACTGTTAATTTGAGGCCTGCCTGTCTGGGCTACAGAGTAAGACCCTGATACAGTCTGGGGCTCAGAACTCAGTAAGAAGGTGTAGCCAAGTCTCTCCAAGTTTGCTGGGCCAGCATCTGCAAGGCTCCCCAGGTGAAATGATGGGAAGCCCTTCAGCAGGACAACTTGAACCCTTCTGTGAATGTAACAACTAGGATGCTGCCAACATTCCCTCAGAAGCTGCTTTCTGGGATGCCCACACAACTCGCCAGAGGTGAACTGGGTGTCTTTCAGCCTCGGAGTGCCCGAGTGCCACTTACACAGAAGCCACCTGCAGGGCTTCACTGAAACTCACTGGGAATCTGAATTCAGCTCTAAGCTACCAGACTCAAGGCAAATGCCTGCTATGACTAGGAAGGAGGCCACTTGCTTTTGCGGAAGCCCTCTTTCTGCCTTTGCTGGTGAAACTCTGTGTGAGCCGGCAAAGGAGAGGTGTTTAAAGGCCCAGCTCCATGTTGGGAGGAAACACACGTGAGAGCTGAAAGGGAGGAACTGTGACTGACTGTCCACACCATGCTCTTGAGTTTCCATTGCTTGTCAGCTCCCCTAGAACATCACAGTGCTGCTTCCAACCGCAGTGCCCCCTAACTGAAGACAGGTAGCAAGCCTTTTTGTCAGCCCACAAATAATGACCTGGAGACTTACTATTAATTATGAAATCTTGGCCTTAGCTTATGCTTTTCCCCAATTTAGTCATAACTTAATTAACCCATATTTTTTAATCTATGTTTTGTCACATGGCACATCGGACTTGCTCTCAGTCTGCTGGTGAAATTACAAACCTAGATTCCTCCTCCCAGTTACTCTCTTTTTGCCCAGAATTCCTGCCTATGCCTCCTGCCTAGCTATTGGCCATTATGATTTTTATTACACTATCACAGCCATACATCTTCACACAGTGTACAAATATCCTACAACAAAGACACTTCTCCCAAACTGGAGAACAGGTTGTCCTATAATCAGCAGACGATCAATTCCTTGTTGGGCAGCAATTTCCTCCATGCTGAAACATCCTTGGGGGAGGAGGGATGCTATAGAAAACCAGCAAGCTTGGTGCAGAAAATTACCAGACTCAGGCCCCTATCCCCATTCATATGAGCAGCAAGCAATTGCTGTAGGAAAAGACACTCTTCTACGAGGCCGCCTGCAAGATAAACAGGCAGCTCTAGGAATACAGTCTTTTAGTCTTAATAGTTCTTCAATGTAGCTGCCTCCTTACCCTGGCCATGCTCCTGTGAATAACCAGAATGCACTAACTGGTTCATGAAACTAGAAGTGTGGAGTGGCTTCTTTAGTGTGTCATCAATGTCCTCTCTGGAGTGAATACATGCTAGTTCCTTTCTTACCAGGAACCCATGTAATAATCACAACCCAGAGGAATGCCCTGTAAAGTTTAACATCCCGTAACTGATATAGAAAGTAATAGTGAGAAGAGAGATTATAAATCATTACCATGTGCAAATAGGAAGCGCACAAAGCTACAAAATCCTTACCTCCAAAGTGCATCAGAGGACTGTAGGCTACCTCCGTGAATCCTTTCCGCCACTCACATTCCCCTTGCCTTCAGCCTGGCCTCAGCCAGCTAAGTTTCTCCCACTCATGAAGTGACTGAAATCATCCTTTATGAAGTGTATGACCCTCAATAGTTTTGTTTCCTTTGGTCTGCTGTAGTTTTCAATTAGCCTTTGTGATTGGGCTTGGAAGTACTAAGAGGTGCTCTATCTAAGTTCCAGTGTTTGATTTGCACACCAACCCCCCTCCATTGGGTGTGTAATTTGCTTCTTGAAGCATTGAATCAATCATTTTCCCCAGTAGTTTTGGTTAAGTGGCATTAGCAACTTGGAATAACCAAACAGTACCTCATCTTTGGAAGCCACAGATCTGTTGTGCGTCTGATAACCACACTGAGGAACCAGCCTGCCTCCATCTTAGGCTTAAAAGCCATCTTATAGTAAGAATAAACTGGGTTCATTCCTGTTTAATGATTAAGCCTCTGTTTCTCAAGGATTGGGATATGCCCCACTTATAACCTTAACTACAAATGATTCTGTACTGCCTATTCCAAGAATGGCAATCATGTCTTTGTTTCAAATGTTTATAACCATCTTGCAACCCTACCTTTGTTTCAAAAAAATGTTATGACCACTTGTGACTATCTTGTTACACCCACCTTGCAATTCATGTCTTTGCTTCAAGAGGTTTTTAGGACTAATTCGTTTGTCCTGCTTTTATAACACTAAGTATTTTGCCAGCCAACGACTCCTCCCACCCCGGGTTTGGAAACCCCCTACCCCTGAGCTATGAAAGCCTTGTCTTCCTCACATCCAATGCTGACCTCTCAAACCCCACCTTAGGGGAGGCAGCCCATGAATACAAATAAAAAAGTTTGCTTTAGTTAATTGCTTGCTTTAATTAATTTGGCCATGATGATTTAGGTCAGTGGTCTTTCTTCTCCATCTTTTGGATTAACACACACCTCCCCTGCTGAATTCCAAGATCCACATATTGTTCAGCTAATTGCTAGGGTAAAAGCAGCGAAAGGCAAATTATTAAATACCACAATGGAGCCACTCCCATTGAAGGTTTTGGTTCCCTGATCCATGTGTTACAGCTTCAGAGAACGTAATATTCCACATTCCAGGAGAGCAGTAAAGAGAAATTCTCCAACAGTCAATACTTCAGGCAATATGTTGGGTAGTCATGGTATTAATAACAAATGTGAACTTGAGACCCTCAATTACCTGGCAGACGGGCCTCTGTGCATATCTTGGGAGATTATCTTGATTAGATTGAGTTAGAAAGACCCTCCCCCCACCATGTACAGTGTCCCAGACCACAGAAAAGAAAAGTAAGATCGACATAAGCACTCATTGGTGTCTACTTTCCAAATATAGATGCAGTGTGACCTCAGGCTCCTACTGCCATGACTTTCCTGTCATAGTTGACTATACCCTTGTTGTGTGACACTTTTCCTAGGGGGATGTGAATAAATATCTAGTGATCCCAGATAGGAAACTGACCACAGGCCAAAGTAACAATATCACTGAAGTCCAACTTGATGAACCAATGAGTTCTTCCAGGAGTGTGTGTGACAGGTTACTCCTAGGAGTCGGGATGACTAAAAAGCAGCTACATTCCTGAAAGTCTACCCAACAGTGGGTGGTAACTCACAAAGCTGGCCTTCCAGAGTGCTCTCTGCATCACGCAGGCAGCTCGACAAGTGAGAAAGTCTCCTCTCCTCAGTTGTCCTTACGGGCAGTCACCATGAGGAGAGCAGGATCGTGAGCACTTGCTTATAGGGACTTCCTGAGTTTTTGTTTTTGTTTTTTTGATGTGAGCTGCTACAGCTTTAATCATATTGGTAGGTAGAAATTCACTTAATACTCTGCTTATCTGAAATATAAACAGACAACACTGATTAGTCTATTTTTTCAACTCTTCCCCTTCACCATCTTCCAAAGCACCAAGCTTTCCCTACCACTATTCTTTTTCTTTGTTTGTTTGCTTTCTTCCTTTTTTTATTAAGTTACAAACAAGCTTGCTTCACATGTCAATCCCATCTCCTCCCCTCCCCCAATCTCTACTCCGATCCCCAGGGAGGGTGAGGCCCTCCATGGAGGATCTCCAGAGTCTGTCATTTCATCCAGGGCAGGGCCTAGACCCTCCCCCAAGAATCCAGGCTGAGAGAGCATCCCTCATTGTGGAATGGGCAGCCAAAGTCCATTTGTATGCTAGGGATAAATACTACCCAAGGCCCCGTAGATTACCTGGGCCTCCTCACTGACACCCACATTCAGGGGGTCTGGGTCAGTCCCATTCCTTCCTGAGGCTGAATGAACTTCCCTCAGGGGTGAGCTATTTCAATTCAGAGGAAACTGCTACTGAGATGTGAGCCAAATCAAACCCTTTCTTAAGTCGCTGTCATCAGGTGATTTTATTAGAGCAACAGGAAAAGGAACCAGGGCAGGACTCTGCTTTGGGGACTCCATAGAGGCATCTGAATCAGTTTATCATGTATTTACATTAGAAAACTGATGGCAACAAAGTCTTGTTGCCTGGTGGGCACAGCACAACTTCAGCTGTAGCACACACACACCCAGGAACTCTCGCATGGGGCAGCTTCTCAGGTCTGCACTTCCATCATTAGCCATGCCTTCTCTCCTCCTGTCAATGACACACATTTGTTCAGATGTAGCCTACGTTTACTGTTTTAGTGTGAAGTTTCCCAGAATCCTTTTAAATGGAGTACAGTGACCTCTCACAACCCTATCAATCAACTTCACAACTGTCTGTATGACACTACACTTATCCCCTTCCACCTAAAACCAAAAATGGAATACTTAAAATCTTATCTAGGACTTAATGTAACTTTACCTCAAAATACTTTCACTGTGCATCTTACAGGAAGAAAAAACTAGGACATTTCTCACCCAAAATAATGTTATCATCCCCTGGATAAGATCAATTCCTTCAGTTAATTGAATTTCCACTTCAAAGTTCTCTAAATATTAAAAACATGTAGAGTTGGGGCTGGAGAGATGGTTCAGTAATTAAGAGAATTGACTGTTCTTCCAGAGGACCTGGGTTTGATTCCCAGCAGTCACACAGTACCTCACAGCTGTCTGTAACTCCAGTACCACAGGATCTCACACCTCACACAGACATGCATGCAGGTAAAACACACCAATAATGCATATAAAATAAAAATAAATAAGTCATTTAAAAATGGATAGAGCTGACTCAAGGAAATAAGAACCTGAACAAGATTTCCTCTGAATTTGTTCACAATCTCTTTGAAACTCATTTTCGTTAGCTCTTTTGTTGTAGACTGTCCCATACTCAAGAAACGACTGATTGCATTCTTACTTTATTTCTTGACTTGTTACACTGTCACTTCCTGCAGACTGGAAGGAATTGGATGGCAAATCATGGTTATATTAAGGTTTGATTGGCAGGTGGGGTTGAGTATTCTACATGGGTTCTGATCCCGTGTATATAGTTGCCAGTTGCCCCCTTTTAGCGTATGCTATAAGCACTGAGTGATTTCCAACGTGCACTTCTTGCAAACACCCACGAATATGCCCCTGGGAGAATCTACCCACTCCCTCCTACAAGTGCTCTTTCTGCATCCACCTGTCTTCCTTTCAGGCAGAATCTTCTGAAACAGCTTACATATTCCTTCTGGGTTGGCTCCCACGTTCCAGAATCCTCCTTTGTCTTTAATTCTTCTTCTCCATTCTTTAAGCAGAGAAGGCCTTTGAAGAAGCTTAAAATGAACAGAACCACTAAAGGACAGGTTCATTTCTTTGAATTTTCCAGGCAGAATAACCAACCCTTCCTCTCCCTTCCCATTCACTTTTGTTATTCCTCTAAGATTAGGTTTCTCACATTACAGTTAATGCATGATTCTCATTGTATCCAGAGTGAACACCTTCTAGAATACACAAAGTCTTATTCAGTTCCTTCATTTCCTAACACAAACCGGGCAGTGGTGGTGCACGCCTTTAATCCCAGCACTCAAGTGTTGGGCCTAAGAAAGGCTCGGATATGAGGCCCAGTGTAAGCTCCCGAACCTGACTTGAGTTTAGAGCTTGGATGTGAGGCCCAGTGTAACCTTCCGAGCCTGGCTAGAGTTTGGTGACCTGTCTCTGACCTGTACCCTCCACATGGGGTGACTCAGCAAGGGCCTGATGTAAGACTGCCCCCTGCCTAGCTGCCTGCCTGCCTGGTGGAATATTATTGGCCCTTACTCACGTCACCTTACCCCATCCTAAGATTCCCATCCCCTACCTTAGCCCTATATAAGTTCCTGCCTGTTAGAATAAATCAAGATCCTGCTTCGACAGACTCCCAACTCTGTAACTAATGGGGGGAGGGTATGAGTCGTTGACACTGAAGAGTCAGAGTGAGGTAGACTTCTGTGAGTTCAAGGCCAGCAATGTCTACAATTGGAGGCCAACCAGGGCTGGTACACAGAGAAACCCTGTCTCAAAAAAATGAAAAGGAAGAAAGAAAGAAAGAAAGAAAGAAAGGAATAAAGAAAGGAGGAAAGAGAAGGGATGTTTATTGTTGAATAAAGATACCTCCTTACAAGTAATAACAAATATTTGGATAAAGTTAATAAAAGGTATTATCTTTACTACTATGCCTTTATTGTACTTAAGTTATACTTAAATGTTTAAGACAGTAATTTAGTTTTGTGCTGGTAATTTTATGTAGCTATAAGATAAATTTACAAGCACTGGAGAGATGTTAGCTCATCAGTTAAGATCAGTTGATGCAGCCGGGCGGTGGTGGCAGGCGGATCTCTGTGAGTTCCAGGCCAGGCTGGACCGACAGCCTCCAAAACAATACAGAGAAACCCTGTCTCCTAAAACCAAAAAAAAAAAAAAAAATCACTTGATGCTCTTGAAAAGGACCTGGGTTCAATTTCCAGCACCCACATGACAGCTCACAACCATCTATAACTCAAGTTCCAGGAGATAGGGTGGCCTCTTCTGGCCTTTCTGGACACCAGACATGAACATGGTGTACACACAGAGAGAGACAAAATACTCATACACATAAATAAAAATAATCTTATTTTTTTAATGAAAAATTTGTAATCTATTGTTTCAGACTAGAGTGATATGATTGTGCATCTTTGGGGGTGAGGGGTATGTTCACAGTAGCCATTAACAAGGCCCATGTGACTGCCATAGAATTTGTGCTGATGTCCATAGATAAATTAGAGATACTGGGGATCAGCTGTGTATGTATGAAAGAGTTACTTGTGGCACCCCAATCACTGTATGTTAGGGTTCTCTAGAAGAACAGAACTGATACTGTGTATGTATGTGTATTTATAATTGTGTATGTGATTGTGTGTGTGTGTGTGTAAGATTTTTTTGGAGTGACTTACAGGTTGTGGTCCTGCTAATCCAACAATGTCTATTTCCTTACAGAAAGACCAAGAACACAGTAGTCCAAGAGGCTGGATGCCTTGGCTTGTTTTTATCGTATGTTCATCCTGAAGTAGGTTCTAATACCAGCAAAGGGATGTCTCAGCAGAAAGATAGATGAAATTGCCAGCCACAGCAAGCAGGCAAGAAGCAAAAACTTCCTGTTTCCATGTCCTTCTATGTGGGCTGTCACCAGAAGGTAGTGCCCAGATTCAGTGTGCGTCTTCTCACCTCAAATGATCTAATCAAGGAAATCCTTTGCATGTATGCCCAGCTGCTTGAGTTTTAGTTGATCCCAATGTAGTCAGGTTGAACCAAGATTAACCATCACAAACTTCTAAACCAAAGGGAACTGTTTGAACCTATGAAACAACATTTACTACTACCTACCATTTGTAATGTGCCAGGTGTAGCACCAAGTGGTTCTTATCTTGTGGGTCATGATCCCTTTGGAAGATCGAACAATGCTTTCCAAGGGGTCGCATATCAGATATCTTGTATACCAGATATTTACATTATGATGCTTTTTGTGTTGTGGGTTGGTTGGTTTGGGGTGTTTTTGTTTCTTCTTGTGCTTTGAGACAGAGTTTGTCTACTTAACCCTGGCTGTCCTGGTACTCACTCTGTAGACCAGGCAGGCCTTGAACTTATAGAGATCTGCTTGCTTTTGTCTCCTGAGTGCTGGGGTTAAAGGCATGTGCCACCACTGTCTGGCCCCACATTACGATTCTTAACAGTAGCAAAATTAAAGTTATGAAGTAGTCACAAAATAATTTTATGTCTGGGGGTGGTGACGATATGAGAAATGTTGTATTAAAAGGTCGCAGCATTATGAAAGTTGAGAAACACTGCATTAAGAGCTTTTGGTGGATTGTCTCAGTTTATCACAAGAGACCCATGATACAAGCCCTGTTATGATTTTCCCTCGGTAGGGGCAGACATTGTCACACAGCCAACAAGTTGTAAATAGAACACTCAGACCAGATTATTTGACATGTAGCCATTTCTTCTGGCCCCACTGTATAATCTCATAATAAAATTATCTAGTTGGAAGACAGCTTGACATTTTCTAGAATAGAGATGTTATGATAAAGGAAATATTTATAGTAACATCCTCCTCCAATCTACCCATCACCCCCAAGAAACCCGATTGTTTCATCATCTCCCTGCAGCTTGCCTAACATCGTCTATCACCCCAATTTACATATTTTTACCCTCTTATTTCTCCTTTTTTCCCCTCTCTCTTCCTGGATTCTGCCCCACCAAGTTCTGGGGTTAGAGGTTTGTGCCACCACCTCTCAGCTGAGACACCCTCGGCTTCCCACCCTATGATGCTTCAATTTCCCACTCATGATCTCTCACATAAACCTCCCTTGAGCCAGCCTTCTCAAATTCCCACCTCCCTTTGCCTACTAGTTACATGAATCTGGACATGAGAAGTCTCAGAATGGATCTGGGCAGCCAGCATCTCCATTCCTGCCCTAAGTACTGCTGTACCAGGCTGGGCACCATCACTGCCTGCTGCCCTCATGTGGCCTCACTAGCACCCAGGCTCTATGTTGTCTGAACGTTTCCACTGCCTGTGATGACTGCTTCAGATTTTCTACACTCCCAACTGCCAGCCTCCTCCATCTACTTCCCATTGAAGATGACCTTCCTTCCAAAATCAGAGTAACAAAACAAGCAGATATTTAGTTTCTTGCCTTCAATTATACATATATTTTGTCCCATAAGCTTTGGAGTTTAAAAACTGTACCACATGACACAACTGTACCATTCCTGCTATATTACTTCACAGAGGACTTGCTATCTTATCGCAGAGAGAATTTCCCATGTTGAAATGCTGTCACATCTTGTGTAATAATATCATGACTAACCAGGGACTGCACAGAGTTGCGCATAACTCACACCACAATCCCAACACCCAAGAGACGGAGGTGAGAGGATTGCTGAAGATTCAAAGTCAGCCTGGGCTACAGAGTGGGACTTTATTTCAAAACAATACAACAGTGGGCTGAACACAGTGCCTGTAGAAGGTTATAATGAAGTTGAGGAGTTCTTACTGCTTAATGACATTAAAAGTCATCCTAGCAGCTCAGATTTAAGAGTCATAGCCTGTGTCCCAATCAAGGTTCAGTCGCCTATCCTTGATATGCCAATGAAAGAGTCCAATAATAGTGCAAATAGAAAAAGGAGATTTGTTTAATGTGGCTACATTGGAAAGGACAAAGTGAGCTGGTGAATCTTCCCAATTCCATCTTTGGTGTCCTGAGTGAGATTAAAGTTTAAAAAGAGGACCAAGGATATACACATCTAGCAGTCCACAACAAGGTATGGCCCATCACTGTCTGGGCTTCCGTCTCCCCCTGTAACGTGGACTGTTGTTAGAATTCTGTGAAATCTCTTTCTGGGAGACAAGTTCCCCTCTGGCTGGGACCCTCTCCTTCTCCCAGAGTGAGATTTTGGTGGGTGGGGGGATTCTCATTTCTTTAGAGTCTAGTGTTTCCATCATCTGATAGATTGAGAGATACAGTTTCTCCTGTGAATACCTTCATTTTTG